CATCACCTCTTTCCCCATGAGACATCACTTCCTCCATGTCCTTTGAACTATTATAGGATGGGATGAGAAAGGAATGAATTTTTTTTTATCACAGTAGAAAGATAATTTGGACTGAATAATAGATGAAGACACCAGAAGGAAGAGCTTGTAGGATGAAGTGGAGAACAAAATATTGGCCCTTGAAGTCTGTGCTAAAAGTGATTTTTTTCCAAGAATTTTGTATATCACGCCTGTCATAAGCATTTAGTTTCATTGTGCAATGAAGACAGATGACAAGAATTTGCTGCTCCAGCAACCCCCCAAAAAAAAAGAAAGAAAGAAAGAAAAAAAGAGGAAAAAAAAAAAAGGCAACTTCACTATGTCCTTGGAATCTGCCTTTTTTTGGTTTCAAATGTGCAGTGGAAAACTTGGGCCTGGAAGGGCTGGGGCTGGGGACAGTTGTTTATGTAAGTAATTGGACATCTACATAATTATGGAAATCAGGACAAGTCCCTCTATTCTCATCTGTTCCAAAGCCAGGACTTGCTCTAAAGTTAAGAGGCATGCAGGCTTGAGAGAAGTACACAGCTTAGCTGTCCTATGCTGACTCACGTAAGCTTCAAGGTTATGAGGGTTTTCTTTTGTGTCCAAATGGTAGGAGGGGAAAACATGTCTTCAGAATCAGTTCTCAGGGAAGAAAAGTGCTTGGGCAGTTCTTAGGTTAGGGAGAACTTTTGTAGATCAGAGGATGATGGGAGATGTGAAGAAATGATTGAAGACAGACTGGGGGAGAAGCATCCTCAAGAAAGGTCCAGAGCACTAGATGGACAGCTGACAATGGCGAGGAGCTACATACCTTCCACAGAGAGAAAAGACAAGTGAACAGACAAAGGGCTGATATACAAGATCTATAAAGGACTCCTCAAACTCAAAACATACAGAACAGATAATCATGTCAAAAAATGGGCAGAAGGGGCGCCTGGGTGGCTCAGTGGGTTAAAGCCTCTGCCTTCGGCTCAGGTCATGATCCCAGGGTCCTGGGATCGAGCCCCGCATTGGGCTCTCTGCTCAGCGGGGAGCCTGCTTCCTCTCCCTCTCCCTCTGTCTGCCTCTCTGCCTATTTGTGATCTCTGTCTGTCAAAAAAAAAAAAAAAAAAAAAATGGGCAGAAGACATGAACAGACACTTCTCCAAAGAAGACATACAAACTGGCTAGCAGACATATGAAAAAATGTTCATCATCATTATCCATCAGGGAGATTCAAATCAAAACCACATTGAGACACCACCAGTTAGAATGGCCGACAAGACAGGAAACAACAAGTGTTGGAGAGGATGTGGAGAAAGGGGAACCCTCTTACACTGCTGGTGGGAATGCAAGTTGGTGCAGCCACTTTGGAAAACAGTGTGGAGATTCCTTAAGAAATTAAAAATAGAGCTACCCTATGATCCTGCAATTGCACTACTGGGTATTTATCCCAAAGATACAGATGTAGTGAAAAGATGGGCTACCTGTACCCCAATTTCATAACAGTAGTGGCCACAGTCACCAAACCGTGGAAAGAGCCAAGATGTCCTTCAACGGACGAATGGATAAAGAGGATATGGTCCATATATACAATGGAGTATTACACCTCCATCAGAAAGGATGAATACCCAACCTTTATATCAACATGACAGGAATGGAAGAGATTATGCTGAGTGAAATAAGTCAAGTAGAGAGAGTCAATTATCATATGGTTTCACTTACTTGTGGAGCATAAGGAATAACATGGGAGATGGAGAGGAGAAGTGAGTTGGGGGAAATCGGAGTGGGAGACGAACCATGAGAGACTGTGGACTCTGAGAAACAAACTGAGGGTTTTGGAGGGGAGAAGGGTGGAGGGCTGGGTGTGCCTGGGGGTGGGTATTAAGGAGGGCATGTATTGCATGGAGCACTGGGTGTGGTGCATAAACAATGAATCTTGGAACACTGAAAAAAAATAAAATTACAAAAAAAAAATACAAGTGAACAATCACAGGAAAGATAGAGAGGGATTTTGGCATCGAGAAAAAGGATCCTAGAGAATCTCAGTATCTTATCAGCAAATGAGGTAGTGAGGTCACCTTCTGAGAAAGAGTGAGTAGAACTTGGGTCTTGGAAGTTTTGGCCTAGCCCCGGTAAGAAATGCAAGGGGCTACTGGACAGATGAATGGAAGGGTGATCAAGCAGGTAAGCTAGAGTCATAGGGGTCATTAGAAGGGTGTTCTGGAGCGGTTATTTGAGATCTCAGAGACAGGGTGATTTCAAGTGACGATTGTATCTAAGGTGGCACTTTTTGAATGCCAATCAAGGCCGGTCCAGCTGAGCAGATCAAGTACAAAGCCAAGGTATCAGTGCCACCTACTGGCTTATGGAAGCCAATGAGGAGGCAAATGAGAGATCTAGAGAATTCTAAATTTTCACAGTACTATCTGAATAACACTCGCTTGACCTAGCCATGTATCCTCTGTAATTAGAAAGGATGCTTTGGGCATGGATATGGAATAACTCCCAGAACCATCTAAATAGCATTTGATTTAGCAGAGCAAGGTGCATTTAGCTTGAACTCCTACCCTAGCAGTGGATCTAAGACACCATGGAGATTAAGATGGACAGATATCAGGAATTAGGAAAACCAATCACTGTGATGCCGAGGCAAAGTAACAGCCTTTGCCTCTAGGTCTAGCAGAGTCCAGTGTATGCCTTGCTCTTCTGTTCCAATCTAGACTGTCCAAGGAAGTCAAAAAGTCTCCTGGCTAGCATTTGAATTATAACTATCTCTTTACAAATCATTCTCCTCAAAAATCTTTGAGAACCCAAGAGCAGGTTCTTTTCATTTTGTGTATCTCTAAATTTCACCTAATACCTAGCACCTAGATGTTCAAAGAATATCCACAGAATGAATGAATGAATGAATGAAGAATCTATGATCCTACATTTCTCTAGAATACACTTTCTTTGGCTTTAGAAGCCTCTGGGAAACCCATCCCTCATTGCTGTTCCATTCGGGGCACACTTTTGAAAGATGTGTAGCTACCATGCAACTCCATAAACACAAATGACTAGCATTGGCAAGGTAGGCAAGACCTACTTTTTCCTGGCAGGTCTGTCCTAGATCCTCTGCTCACTTTCTTGCTAGTGTCTGGACTGATAATTACTGCTCAGTTGGTTGTGGCAAAGGTCACACTGTGCCAAAAGTAAAAGAGATTATAGCAAGGGCAGTAATTAAGAAGTGGAATGGGGAACCTGAATAAATAAAAGGCTGCATAAATATGCTGCCTCATTGAGTGAGACAGTCTCAACTTGAAATCACCCACTCCTACAAGACAGAAGTCCCAGCTTTTTTTTTGCTTTGGAAACCAAGCTTTCTTCCTGATGGCCAAGAATGCAACTAGTCCATTCTAATACCTCTGTGTGAATTAGTAAAAGGCATCTCCTGCAGAGGCAGAGGCAGCAAACACCAGAGTGCATGGCTTGATGAGATGAACTTGGGCTGGATGTCTGCCCACTTGACCCTGGGGCAGTCACCTTGTGCAGTGAACGAACTGCATGTTTACAGTCTTTGCCCCCATTGGGGATGCACTGTTTCGGGCTTCTGGCTCCTGGGAGTCACTCCTGAGCTAAGAACCATGGTTCCATCCTAAAAGTTATATATCAAATTCCTTGGCAACAACTGGAAGACAAAGAAGAGCAGAGTCTAAGATGGGAAGGGTGTGCTGATGTTAGATAATTGCACTGCTCTGTGTATGTCCTTTCCCCTTTAGTTAACAAAACTAATAGACTACCTCTACATCAAAAGACAAACCCTACCTACTCTTCATTTTCATTTTTGTGGTCTGGTGCAACAGAAAGAATTATGTACGTAATTATGTACTTCTCCCAACTACAGTAGTTCAGTAAAGCTATGGGACAATACAGAGGGGTGGACTTTCCTCCATTTCTCACCAGTCAAGTCTGTGTTTCCAGGGCTTCAAAGCAAATACAAAAAATCAGGCAGCAAACCTCAAGGTTTCAGTAAGACGACTTGGTTAAACCATGCATGAGTAACTGGTACCTCACTATTCTGGCTGAAGCCCAGGTCAACAATGTTCAGACATATTTACAGGGGGTGGGGTGATTCTGCTGAAATCTGAAACTATATTTTCTGAGCATGGTCAATTTCTAAACAATATCAAGTAGTTCTTTGGATCAGACTGAATAAATTTGTCGATTTCTTTTAGGACAACGGGAGGGGAGGACGTGCGTAGCGTTGAGTAGAGGACTGAATTCAATGAGTAGAGACCCATCATTGGTTTTTCACTAGGTTATCACCTCCAAAGAGGTTAGCCTGTCTCCACCATCTTTACTAGGACAGTAATTTCTTAAATGGTCATAAGGAGTTTGTAAGGTTGGACTTGCTTCTGTGGAAAGGCCTCCTATGTGTTTTTCCTTGGGAGAGATAAACTTTCCAATTAAATGAAGACTTCTCTGGCTATCTCTTCACTGTTACTCTTGTAGGGTGAGATGTAGCTCACATCTGTCAAATGTTAGCCAAGCCTCAACTCCCCTTCTTAACCAGTAATTGCAATACCCCCAGAATGGCAGGTGGGTCCTGCTCGTTGCTTGACTTGAACCAAGGCTGTAAGTGGGGTCTCTGGAGTCCAGGAACCTTCAGCCTTTAACAGAAAGGTCAGAAGGGGATCAGTAAAGGGGTCCTGTGAGAAGCCCCCCTTGGCTTCTCTCTACTCATAAAATATGTAACACATGCTGACTAGATCCAAAATTATGTCATTGCCTCATAATTTTTTGAGGTTCCAACTTCCAAGGCCCTTGGGAGAGGAGCAGTTGTTATTGTAAGGTCAGGATTTAGGAGCGGCAACTGAAGCCATTCAAGGTCTCCTTGCCGCGTTGTTTCCATTGCTTTTAGGCAGCCACAGAGAGATCTGGCTGCTCTCAGACTGACAGCCCAGGCAGCACTGCCATGTAGGAATGTGGTAAACAATTGGATTTTTTTCCTCTAGGAGAATACATTGATGAGCATGGCCACTGCCAAGTCTGTGAAGCCTCGTGTGCCAAGTGCTGGGGGCCAACTCGGGAAGAGTGCACTGACTGCCCCATCACAAGGTGAGTGGCCTCCCAGTATCTTCTGTGGTTGGGAGCCCATGGGTGGCAGGATGGGGAGAGGAGGTGTTTACCACCTTAAAGTCACCCCCTTGGGTCTACAGGAAAAAGAACCAAACTCCTTCCCATGACACAAAAACCCTCCATGGTCTGGCCATAGAGCCAGCTCTTCTTCCCATGATGCCCTGCACCCTGTGCAAGAAACAGTTACCTGGACACTAGAGGGGCTTTCCCATCAACGAAAATGGTGTCTTTGATGGCTGCAATTGCATCCCCTTCTGCACACCCATCGTCTCCATCTGCTGATCAAACAGCTCCTCATATTTCTAGAGTCAGTTCAAGGATGAACTGTTCCATGAAGGCATTTTGACCACTTCCCAGAATTAACCTTCTCCTCTCCATGTTCCTCTGGGCTCTGTATAAACTTCCATGAGCACCTGTGACGTTTTAAGACATTAATTTACAAATCTCTATCTCTCTATAGAGGGGCTGTATTTTGAGAAGCCCCGTAAAATACTCATCTTTGTATCTCCATTACCTATCACAGGGCAAGGAAAATAGTAGGCACTCAATTAATGTTCGGTAGCTGAATGAATGGGGAAATAACAAGCATCTGAACGGAATGAGAATCTGCTAATACACTGGGAATTTCTAGCATAGAGCGTTGGAAGCCTGTTGCGTTTTTAGTCAATATTCCTCTAATTGGAGCCCTTAATACTTGCTGGCTGACTGAGTGTTTGAATGCGTAGCCCCATCACTGCTCTACTAAGTGTGTAGGAAGCAGGCTCTCTCCAGATCAGTATGATGAGTCTGCTTTGGCAGCAGATAAATCCCCAGGATGGACATTCCCTCTGCTTCGTACAACAGTCATTTCACCTAATTCTTCCTCAAGACTATAATCCCCTGAGCAGGAACTGTGGTTGTATTTGTGTCCCTAGTCCCCCCCAGTGATCAACACACAGTAATGATTCAAGAAATAATAAAGTGTATAATCAATATCATGGGCTTGACTGTCCAGATAGCTTCCTCAGAAAGAGAAAAAAGGAAGGGGGAGATGGAGGGAGGCTGGGAGAAAAACACCAAAGAAGTCTTAAGAATTGTCAATGCTCACTGTGGCAACATTTTCCAAGTGTCTCTTTTAGATATCTATGCCTCTACATATTGGATTTGCTTTCAAGCAGCTTCAGGACACACTCTTGGGTACAGACATCATTCTGAATATGGGTCCTGCTTCTCCTAACTCCTCACCATATCAACAGTCAAGCCCCACTGCATGTTTGGACATCTTTGAACTAAAGGAACTTGCTAGCATTTGTTTACTATGGCTATTACCATCCTCCAGTGTATACCGCAGAAGTCAGGATTGTCCCAGGATCATCAAAAGTCAGAAAACAACAACAACAACAACAACTCTACTACCATAAATAACCATGAAAAGAACTGAAGCCCATTGGTACATTAAGATCAGAGATACAGTTCCTGGGACATTGGGGTAGCACAACTGGCATAAGCGGCCCATGATTTAGCTTTAAAAGAAAGAAAAGCATGCTCATGGATCTTGAACTCATATGTTCTCCTACAGAAATCTTGTTTCCCAGGAAGAGTTTTCTTCTCATCTCCCGGAGCACTCCATTTCGCTCATCTCTCTTCCTTGATAAAAATTACTTGCAAATATGTCCAAGAGAGGGCATCGTATCATAGCAATGAACTACCTGACTTTTTTTAATCTGCATTTTGCTAGAACAGGGTTGAGAAGATGAGGAGATAAAAACTATTTGGAAAGATGTTGATGTTGACTGAGTTGTTCTTAAAAGACAAAAAGTATTTTTCTTAAGTATCTTCCAAAGCATTTTCTTGAGTGGAATCAGATCCCTTCAAGATGGTCTTGAGCACCTGCTCTATGTCCAGCTCTGAGTTAGGTCCATGAATTCTCACAGGTAGTTCAGGAGGTCAAAGTCAAGAGTTGGTGAAGTGCTCAGGGACCAGCTTTAACACTCTAGACCTGAAGCAAAAGCTGCAACCCTGGGGGGTGGGGAGGGGGAGGCTAGCTTGATAGAAAGTAGGGCTGTAGGGGACACGGCCACTCCAGAACCATGGAAGGAGGAAGCAGAGTTACAGCTCCAGGGGGGGAATAAATACCCCCAATCTCTCTCTCCTCCCACCCATAGATCTGTTGGTGATTTCTCTTGTCTAGAATTAAGTGGAGGCCAATGGGAAACACCACTTACAAATAGGAGGAGTGAGCCTGGGGAGGTAGGGTCTAGTTGGCACACTTCCAGGACATGGCAGGACAAATAATGACAAAAAATGGATCTGAGGCAAGGGTAAAGAGAGAAACAAAATACCCAGGACAGTTGGTCTGTCCGAGTTTCTTCCTGGTCTTAAGCTTTTAGATATCTCTAGTCCTGGCAGAAAAAAATCATCCCTAAAGATGTTTGTTGTTTTCTTTTTTTTAAAGATTTTTTATTTACTTATTTGAGAGAGAAAGAGAAGACATGAGCAGGAGGGAGGAGCAGGAGGGAGGAGCAGAGGGACTACGAGAAGCAGACTCCCCACTGAGCAGGGCGCCTGAGGCAGGACCCTGAGATTGTGACCTGAGCTGAAGACAGATGCCCAAATGAGCCACCCAGGCACCCCCAAAGGAGTTTTTATCTAGGAAAGAAGTATTCATATTTAAGTTATAGGCTTGCTTCAAAATGATATGGGAGGGAAGTAAACCGATGGGGATATAAATAAGATTGGCCATGCAGTGAAACTGTTGCAGCTGAGAGATGAATACAGAGGAAAGGGTACTTTTATGTCTTGTATATGTGTTTATTTTATATATATTTAAATTTTTTCCTTAGTAAAGTTTTTAAAAATAACATAACCCCAAACTTGTTTTACAGAAAACCAAACTTTAGGAAGCCCTCTCTCTGTATTCTAGTTCTCTCTTTACATTTCCATTAATTCTTGGGTTTAGCTCCTTAGAGAGGATTGAAAACTTGGAGGCAGAAAGAGCCTCCTTTGGCACTGCTATCTAACATGTAGAGCCCTCAGTGCTATGGCCTTCATGGGCCTCCTGGTCTTCCTGGCCCAAGCTGGCTTTTCAACCCAGTTCTGAAGGAGTCATAGAGTCAATGAACCAATTAAAAACATTAAAAGTTCCCTCTGTTCTTACCCAACCTCAAATGCTTTATTTGATCTGTTTCAATGAATTCGGCAGGGGTGGGGGGCGCAGAGAGACTTTTTGCCAGATTTCATTTTGCTTTAACATTATCTCCCTCTCCCTCTGCCCCTCGCCCCTGTTCGCTCTCTCTCCCTCTCTCTCTCTCAAGTAATAAAAATAAAATCTTACAATATAAGAAAAAAAAATTAAAGTACCAAGAAAGTACATTAAATGCCCTTGTGATGACGTACTTGGGCCAAACCAACAATCAGCAGAGGATCCACTAACCCTGATTTACCGTCTTATCTCTCCTAGTTTGTATCACACACACACACACACACACACACACACACACACACACACACCCCGGATGTCGGAAAATGTAGTGCCAATATGGAGAACATGACCTCTGCCCAGCTCACTAATACTCGGTTCTGCCGACTTCTTCCTTTCCATAAGCCCTGTTGGACCTGGAATGGTTCGCTGATTATGAAAAGGCTAAAAGGACACATGAGTTGGGGAAGAAATGCCTTCCCTGCAGAGATTAGCTTGCCCAGTTTTCTCAGACATCCAGAGTGGGGGACGGGCGGTCCTAGAAAGGACCTGAGTTGGCTTTACAAGAAATTGTCTTCAGCCCCACGGAGCCCAGAGCAAGGTTATCTGTTCTCCACTAGGGAAAATTTTTTAGTGTCAGTGGAAATCTGACCCACCTGAGCTGGTTCTTTTCTCAAGTTCCTTAGCAGTTTTCCTTGAGGGGGATGGGCGTGCAGGAGATGGTGTAATTCAGTGCCTTTACCTAAACACGACTGTTTTCCTTCTCTGTTTTGATCTCTAGAAAGAATCACATTCTTACAAAAAACTGTACTTCACCTTCGCTTTCCTTAGAGTAGATATGAAGGGAGGTGGTTTAAAGCTTGGTACTTTCTTAAAATTAAGCACTCAAGTCAGAAAGGCTGCCCCATGCATATATTAACATGAAAGTATTACACCCTCGGCTTCACCCCCAAGTCTGCTGCCCCCACTTTCTGGATGCTTCTAAATGGTTCCCCTCATTGAGAGTATTAGATCACTCCTCCCAAGAGAAATTATTTCCCCCTAAATAAGTTCATCAGCTCTTTTGATAAAAGGCAAAAATGATGACATACTTTTCATTCCCTTTGCAACTGAATTTAGAAGGAAAAAAAAAAAAAAGAACCCTCACTAATAAACATTCCCATTCTCCCTTCTGCAGAGTATCTAGCAGCTTCCTTGTTTAAAAACCTCAGAAAGCTCTTACACAGTTTTTCTTAAAGGGAGGTTTTGGGTTTTTAACTAGTCACATCCAAATGATTCCTTAAAAAATCTAGCTCAGATGCCAGAGCTGGGGTTGGGCTGGGATATTCCCAGTCGGCATTAGTGCCATCAACTGAAGTCTGGGCTGGGAGCGCAGCCTTCTCATCAGACACCATGGCACAGGGGATCTGTTTTGACACAGACAACCAGATGTGCATACGTGTCTGCTCAGGGCTGGGACTCCATGCCCTGCAGTGGGCCACAGGCCTTGTTCACTCCAGCAGTGCTCAGTATGGTGACCAGAAACCAAAGGGCAGAGAATGCAAGAACGAGGTGGCTGTCTGTCTTATGATGTTGGTGTTAATCCCACTGTTGCCAACAGATGCAAGTGACACAGACTTTCAGGGTGTGGAGACGAGATGGAAGATGTCAAGCAACACCCTACTCAGGTTGCCTTGCTCCCCTGCCAACCTCCACAACCCTGTGACTGAAATGGCCCATCCCCGGCTCAGGGCTGGCTCTAGCTGTGGAAACAGTGGGATTTAGACACACCAGTGCACCCCAGGCCTATGCCTGCCCTTCAATGGGAGGTCCGGCATGGTGGGGGGAGAGAGGCAGCAGAGGGAGAAAGGAGCCCTACCTTTGCTGACAGGCCCTCCACTCTCTCCGGTGAGGATGCCAATGTTATACCAACGGGGATAAGTGTGTGCTGCATGGTGAGTTAACCTCACAACTGAGGCAGTAACTACTGCTGTGAAGAAACTTGAACTGATCCAATTGGACACCACCTGTGTTAACTTAGGACTCACTTAGTAAATTCCACAGTCATCCATACTACCAGTGAGCAGAAGGCAGAACAGCAGCTCTCAAACTGTGTTCCCTAGACCAGCAGCATGAGCATCGCCCAGGAACTTAACAAATACAAATTCTCAGCTCTCTCCCCCAAAGACTTACTGATTTAGAAACTCCGGGGGCGAGCCCCGCGGCTCACTTCGTCAATCCGCATTACCTATCTGACTCTTGCCCTTGCTAAACATTTCGTATTTTTCTGAGCAAAATTTTTGGATACAATTTACTTCATCCTGTTTGCTCTTGGGATTACTTTGCGAAGGAAGAAAAGAAGCAAAACTATGAAAATATCAACAGTGACATTATGATATGTATTTTATGTGTATAAAATCAAAGGTTTTAGAAGCCCCCATTCTAACTCATTCGTGGTGCTCATGTAGGTGTTTGCAAACAAGATGAAAAAAAAAAGCTGGTACATTAGGCATCAGGAAGCCCTTGCAAAAATGGTGCGCAAAATCAGAGTTTATCGATTACTTTGCCTTGTGCATAGATCAAGTTTATAAGTAGCACGTAAGCTACGGGACCATGCTTCATTCTACCCCTTTGAGAGCCCTTGATGTTGGCATTTCCCTTATAAAGTGTGCACATGCTGATAACTAAAGGAAGAGTATTTTCTCCAAGGCCTCTGGATGCAGAGGCCCATTTAGTGTCTTGAAATTTTAAAGACCTCCATGTGACTATTGACTGTGTTTGGCTGGGGCCCGCAGTATGGGTTTAATCCCTGCAGGCACCGGTTAGCTTATTTGGAACCAGACTCAGGACTGCAAACTGAGCCAGTTTCTGGCATGCCTGCTGTTGGGTCCAAACCTTGGGCCAAGGATGGGTACGTGACTAATATTCCCCATGTTCTAAGATGATCAATCCCAGGCATCCCCCTTGTTTCTGGAACAATGAAACCAAGTCTGTGAAGTGAAACATGAACACCACATGTTCTCATACTTAGAGCCGTTCCAGAAAGTCACCCTTACAAACTCTGAAATCTGCTCTTCCTCTAGGACTTTTGACAATGGCCGCTGCGTTTTCAAATGTCCCTCAGGGAAATTTGAATTTCAGAACCAATGTCATCTATGCCACCACACCTGCCAAGAATGCCAAGGAAATGAGCCTTCCAACTGTACTTCCTGTGGAGTAGGTGAGAAGTCTGGCTGCTCTCTTCTTCCTTTCTTTAAACCTGTTCTCCCCATGGTTTGACTCAGAAGCTTCCACTCTGGGGACAAGGGATTGATCTCAGAAAGCTATTCGCTGGGGAGTGCATACAACCTTGAAGTTTCTTGTCAGGAAACGAATTCACATTATCGTAGACACAGACTCACTGTCCCTAAGGAGATGAGAGAGAAGCTAAGACTTGTCTTTCCGGAGAAGGAGAAAGGTCATTCAGACATGATGTCAGACATGAGACCGTCAGGAAAGCTAAGATTTGTTGCGGTGAAAGTGAAAAGTGAGGATGTTAAGGGAGACACATTCAGTCTTCAAGAGAAATATTGAAATAGAGGCTGTGTCAAGGTCTCCTCAGCCCTGAGCTATTTTACTGAGAAGTTGTCAGAGCCCTACTGTAGGAACAAAGGAATTTTTTCAACAAAAATATTGTTTTGTCTCAGCTTTAACAGTTCAAGTTTCTGCTGTCATTGGATTATATTTCATGATATCAAAGGTCCTCTGCAGTTTGACCCTTGACTCCTTTCCAACTTCCCCTCATATGTCTGTCCCCCACTTTTACCTCATGTGGGCCAGATTTGTATTTTATTTGACCTTTTAACATTTCAGCCAAATTTAAAAATTGGGAAATTTCAAAGAAAACCTTAGTTTGTTTTGTTTTATTTGGTTTTGTTTTGGTTTGTTTTCTCTGAAAACTTGGAGCATAACACTGGGCACCACTTGGCCTACATTCCCCAAATGACTGACAGGAGATCAGAGGAGACTGCTCTCCCCACCACTCCCTATTGTCTCACTGATCCCAAGGCCATCAGTTACCACCACCATCATGCTCACATGTTGTTTTTTTCCTGGTGGAAGATAACTATTTATCTTTATTAATATAACCAAGAAAAATGAAGACTGAATTGGGAGTATCATGCATTTGTAGGAAAATGGGAGATAACACATTTCTTTGTGTAAACTAAAATTGTTTGTGTTTGTCATGTAAACAAGGTAGGTCTATGTCAAATTTTCTCTCTGGTCTGCTCCTTCTGTTTCCTTCCTCATCTATAAGATGGTGATAATGGTTTTCTACTTTTAAGATTATGAAAATAAAATGAGGTTAAATGAGATAAAATAACAAAGCACTTAAACAGGGCTGGGCATATATGAAGTACTCAATAAATACTAAATACTACCCTTACTATCACCACTACTACCACCACTGTTATTGTTTATACCTACTTACTCCTGTGGGCATGCTAATTTCCCTAGCTGTTCAAAGACTTCACTGGAGATTTTCCTCACTTGTTATCTGCCTAACCTCTATTTATTTTGTAGGTTTCAACATCATTTCCTCAATGAAGGATGTCCCAATTTCCTTGTCCGGATGGGACCTTTCTATATGTGCATCCTTGGAGCTTCTGCTTACCCCTTTACAGGCATCCTCAATCTCTATAGCTATCTTGTCCATAAGACTCTATGTCCTATAAAAGCAGTGAATGGTTTCTACCTGAGCACTAGCTTTGAGCACTGGGACAGCACGCAGCATGCACAGTATAACTGAATAAATGAATGGTTCAGTAGCAGGTCAGTACCAACAACCAGGGTAGAACTGGGTTCTAGTTCTAGTTCTAGTTCTAGTTCTAGTTCTAGTTCTAGTTCTAGTTCTAGTTC